TTGCCCCCGCTGCCGGGGCCCCCCGACCAGCAGGCAGATCTCCAGCAGGCCGGAGGGCAGCACGTCCTCCATAGCACAGCGGTGCAGGGGCTGCCGGCACCGCGGGCTCCGGCAACTCCTTCCCTCAGGGCCGGGCTTGGGGAGGGAAAACAGAGGGAGGAGGTTGCGCCCTCTTTTTCCCCCGCCCCTCAAGGTAGTTAGCACTTTGATTGGCTGCCTCTCCCGTCGCTCTGAGAACCTAAGACCAATCAAAAGGGCAGAATGTGCCTGAGGCCGCCTGGTGGGCCGGGAGGGGGCGGGGAGTTGCACCTCGCGGCCGTTCGCTTAGAGCTGAGGTGCCCAAGTGCCGCCCGTTCCATTGCTGTCCAGTGGCCTTGGTTGCATTTAGTCACTCTCGCCTCACCTCGTCCCCTCACCCCGCCGGGAGAGCCCCCAGGGAAGTCGCTTCCCGACCCAAAAGGGAGCTAATTTTTCTCCCGGACAGCCACGGGTTGGTTTCCGTGCAGGGTTGTTGGCCCAGAGGGGCTGAGGTACCTCAGGGCTGCCTTTCGCCCGCGCCGGCGCCTCAGAGAGGTGGGTGAAGTCATTGCCTGGTGCTTTGCTAAGTGGTGCCATTCCCTGCTGTTTGCTGCAGGTGACTCAGGGGCTGTGTGACTGCCACTAAATAAGAGTCTTGTATTTATCATGGGTCATAGTTTCACTGAACTGTAAGCACAGAGCTGGTTGCAGACTGCGTGGTGCTTTCACCTCTGGAGCAGCAGCGTTCTCGGTGGAGCTGCCTGCACAGCAGAGAAACAACCCGGGAGGCTCCGGGATTTCTTTTTTGAGCTGTTTAATCTAAAGAGACAATGAGTCACTCTGTGTTGGCTCTGTGCAGATCTTCACCGAGAGAAATGTGTTTCCTCTGGGACTGATGCATAAAATGTCGAAACTGTAGAGAGTAGTTTCTCTGAAACTGAAGGTATGAGGCAGTTTCATCACAGCCACAAACTTTTTTTGCGGACTAGCGTTCACGTAACTGAGGTGCAAAAAAAACTCCCAGTATAAATAGCTACAGGTTTTCACAAGTTTGTTATGAGTCCAAGGTTCAGAACAGACTTGTTCAAAAAGTACAAAGAATGTCAGAAACACGAGGTGAGGTCTTCATGGGGATTTTATCTGAATTTCTGTGGCTCAGGATTATATGGCCTCTGGTGATGTTAAATAACTTATTTAGGGGAAGTCACAAATGCAGAATATAGGAAACTATGTTCATATAGCACTGACTAAAAGAAGGAAATTCTTGAAAACCTGGAAGTTCAGGGATCACTTCTTCAAAGTGATAGAAGATCATAGGCTCATAGATTTCTTTTAATGAACTTTAAGGTCATAAGGAACTGTTTATCTTGTGTAGCCCAGGCCAGAGAATCAAAGTGATTCCTGTATTAGATTTGTAACTCCTGACTGATGCCATGAGTTCCTGCAATAGGGATTACTAACAATCACTTAAAAGTTAGGCATCTTGTTTTTAGTTTCACTGTTTAGCTTAGTGTTTTGCCACTGGATCATGTTATGGTTTGCCTGCTGTCTGAACAGATTCTTTACTACAAAAATATTTATCCTGGCAGAGTTCAAGATCATTAATCTTAATTTATTTTTAAGCTAGTCTACAACTCATACTTTTTAGAGTCCTTTCCTAATAACTTGTGTGCATCTTTTCTCAACCTTTTCAGAATTTTCCAGTATTTTTTTTGAATTTACATAAAAAATGAGCTGTACTATTGCTGACTATACAGTGGAAAGTCACACCTCTATTTCTAACAGAGATCCTCGCCTAATTAAAACAGAAAAAGACTGATATATGAATCATTCAAAAGGACTGTAATGTTTAATTGGTTATCCACTGTAACTCTATATGGTTTTTCTTGGGGTTATTACTTCCAACATGACAGTCCTACATCTTACATTCATTGACCTATGACCATGACCTAGCATTTGACCACATTAAAAGAAAATTACAAATGAACCAAGGCTATTGAGCAATCCAGGTCACTCTGTAGTTAATTAATCTGTGTCACCATTAGTTTCTGATTTCTTTACTATCTGCAATGATAAATACTGGATGATTCTTGTTCATAATTAATGTAGCCCTCAAAGCAAGGACACGGTGAAGTTACTATCAAAACAGAACTACAAGATGAAAGGTACTAATGTAATCTGATAAAATCTCAAGAACTCAGGAAGTAGGAAATCTGCTCTATGGGGTCATTCATAAGACACAAAATAATTCGCATAGAGAAGAATTCCTCTGTGCTACAAAAAGATTCATTTAGTTAAATGAGTTTTTTCCTAAGAAAAATTTTCAACTGAGAAAGAAATGTCAGCTTTTATTATGTTTATTCTTTTTGTAAGATTACAAATACAGTAAATGTTTGTTTGTAAACTGTCTGATGTGGTACTTGCCTGCTTAGAGCTATATGCAGAAATAACTGATCTTAGTATATCCTCAACATGGGTAAGGTTTTATCAGACCTGAGGGCCATATCTGAATAATTAAAAAATTCCTTGACATAGAAATCTAACTCAGCTTCCAAATACAGTATTTATGTTTTAGCTAGACTGCCTCTGCTAAGAGGAGAAAATAATTTTACAAGCTATGTGTTTCTTTCATGCAATCTTGCTTATAAAATATAACCTACCCAAACAGATGAGAAGCCTTGAGCTGGCTCTAGCTTTAATGAGGCCACCCTCAAAATCCCATACTTGTGGGTGATATAACACAGCTTTACATGTCCAGCCTTATATTTGAAACACCTTCTAAAATCATCTCCAAACATCTTCCCTCACCTCTTTCAAATTACTCCTGTAAATTGGAAACTATGAATTGGATTTGGCTGGCAATCATGCTGTAGATTGCATGAAAACAGTTGAGTTGGTCTCCATCAACCCTGAAGGGACTTTTTGAGTTGTAGATGCCAATACTGTGAACACTTCAATCCTGAGGGATGTGGGCCAGGTGAAGAGTAGAGTCAGGACTCTGAATTTTAGGAGAGCAAACTTTCAGTTGTTTATGGAACTAGCAAATGGGACCCATTGGGAAACTGCTCTCAGGGACAAAGGAGCTAAAAAGAGCCGGCAGCTCTTTAAGGACATTATCTGGGAGTGCAAGAGCTCCCCATTCTCGTGTGTAAGAAATCAGACAAGGAAGGCAGAAGACCGGCATGGATCAGTAAGAAGGAAATGCACAAGCAGTGGAATGAGCTGCATGTATCCTGGGAAGAACATAGGGATGCTGCCTGGATGTGTAGGAATGGGATCAGGAAAGCTAAAAGCACAGTTAGAGCTGAATTTGTCAGTGCAGAGAACAGTAAGAAGGGATTCTGCTGGTATGATGGCCAAAAATGAAAGATTAAAGAAAGAGTACAAAACACACATAGATAAATAAGACATGAGAACTGGCGTAAACCAACATGGAGAAGGCTCAACAATTCCCAGATCAGCGTGGAGGTACTCCATTTTTTTGCCGGTTTTTAATGGTAGTCTCTGTTCCTACCTCTCTCAAGCCCCTGAAGCAGAGACTGGAGGTATGAAGTCCCTCCCATTGTAAATGAAGATCAGGTTCAAGACCACCTCTCTACAGTCTAGAAGTCCATGAATATACATCACATCTCAGGATTTTAAACCCATTTTCTGTGAAATCAGTTCTTATTAAGAAGGTCATTCATAGAGGAAAAGATTTGTTTTGAACAAAACTTAGGGAGGTCACCTTGCATTTCTCATTTTATATTCCTTCCACCAGGTTCAGCATGAACATGTCAGTGGGAAAGGAGGAGAGTTCAGGGATCTCTGCCTCTATTAACAGCTCCATTTGCATCTTCTTTCTTTTTTGCTTGACTCGTCTGGTTTGTGCTGCCACCATTTACGGTATAACAGAGTACAATTACTTTTAAACTGTCATTTAGCATGCATCTCTGTAATAATACATGGATATGTTTCACTGACACTACAGAAAAATGCCAACACAGGACCAGTTTTTACAACTTATCACCAAGTGGGATTTGTGTTCTCCACAGATGTACCTGCACGTGTACTGGAGAAGTCAACTACTGTCTGCTGTTTCCTCAGTTGAAAAGGGTTAGCCAATAACCCATAACCCAAAAAAAGCTCCTGTAAAGGACTGTAGCATAACCATACACAAAACTGGGAAAAAGACATTGATAAACTGGAAGAAATTCAGCAGAGAGCTGCCAAAATGGTCAGGGCTGAAGCATTTGTTCTGTGAGGAGTGTCTGAGGCAACAGGGCTGGAGGAGAGATGGCTTCAGGGGATACCATTCTCAGGGTCTCTGTGTACAAATAGAGCAAGACAGTTAAAACCTTTTATATGAAGGATACAAAGTGTTAAAATTCCAGTCAACCAAGTAGCGAAAATCCTCAGCAAGTTATACAGTCAATGACCTTTCAATTTAACACAAGTGTTTTGTGATGCGATAACTAAGGCCCAAGGAAATAGCTTTGAGTGTCAGTGCAACGCTTATTCCTCATCATCTCTGTATGTCTGATAAGGAGGCTGGCTGTAGTTTTCTTTTAAAAAATCTGTCCAAAATCCTGGGAGAGGAATTAAAAAAAAAAGCTGAGCTTTATCACAGCTCCTGCATTGAGAGAAATGTAGCAACACTAAGCTGTCAGGTCTTGGCAAAGAACCAGACTAATGTGAGTGCTCTGATTATCAGAAACACTTTGCATTATAGATACTGTGAGATACTCCTGAGACTTCAGAAGAGCTTATTCCTGAATCTAATAATTCTAGGGTCAGTTTTAGCGATGTTTTATTTATGTAGGATGCATAACATGTCCCTCAAATCTGACTTGCTTAACATGGCATTTGTTATACTTTCAGTTCTTTACCATCTGGCACAATCTCAGGCAGCCAAAGAGATTTTGATAGTTTTGTTGCTGCTTTTATAGTAGCATTACGACTTCATAACATTTGTCCTTTTACTGCAGTGCTGTAAAAAAGGTGCAGATTCAGAATTACTGAAGTGGTGGGACGAGAGAGAGGAGAGGTCAATTAGTGCACAAAGAAAGTCAGAT